TGAATTTGTTTAAGCCTCGATCCGCTGTTATAGGTAGGTAGTGCGTAGTCTTTGACCCTAAACCCTTGGCCTTCGAAAAACATGGAGCTGGGTTCCTTGCTGGTTTAGGGTTGCCGTGCCCCTTGCAGGTCCGAAAGGCGGGTAGACCAGTTCGAGTACACAACCTAAGGTAGGTAGTTTGAGATGGAAACATATCGAGAGAAGAAAATAGCATAGGAAATGCAGCTGAGAAGGCAGCCTGCTTTTTATTTTTTTATAAAGAAACTCAAAAGAAAAAAGAAAAAAACGAAGGATATGTGCATGTTGTTGGTGCGTGCATTGGGCAACAGTCAGGAACAAGCTGGTTTGATGGTGATAGGAAAACTGTGGACCATTACACTGAGCTGAGGAGTTTTTCTAACCCTGTCTCTTGGGCCTTGTTGCAGCTGGAGTCAGAGCTGGTGAAGCTCCCTCAATCTGCTGGCCGAACAATGAGCGAGAGGAAGAAGAAGATGTTTCTAGAGAATCGGTTGGAGGAACTGAACAAGGAGATTGGAAGATTGAGGATGAAGTTGCGGGAGATGAACGTCTTTCACTGAAGTTGCAGAGGGACAGCTTTATTGCGAGTCCATTTTTTCCAAAATGCGAACAGCTCGACCGACTTTGCTCCTTCCTTACAGTCAATTCTTGCTTCGTTTGCTTACGACTGGGACGATGGGGTCGACATGTGAAGTGGAAACGAGTGTGGTGAATTCTACATGGACCGGTGTGCAATCTGGCGAAGACTTCGATGTTTTTCCGTTCTCAGCACCTTCTTCTCCCTTCTCCTCTCCCCCCCCCCACCAACCACCACACCCCACCTTGTCATAGAAGTCACATGCCATTCCTCTTTTTTGCTTTCTTTTTCTTTTGGGGGGGGCTTGTGATAACATATGGGTTCGGAATCTCTCGATGTATATCATTTTTTTGGCACTTTTTCGTATTTGAAAGCTATGTATGGTCTGCATGGAGTACAAAATTCAGGATGAAAGAAAAACCGCAAGCATTTGCGTCTGTCCAATGCTGTCGCTGTGCGGAACTGGGGGGTTAAACTTTAAATTTTTAAACTGGTTGTTCAAGTTTGTTGATAGGTGCTAAGCTCGTAGGGGCCAGTATTGATCGGTGCCAGGGAAGGTTATTTATTATCAAGGGTGCCACGCCATAGTCAACTTCATGGAGACGGCGCCATGTAAGTTTGCTCTTGGTGAGAACCGGCGTTATAAGATCGATGCCGTAACTACTTGAAGCGTTATAAGATGGATGTCGTAACTCCTTGAAAAAGGTAAGCTTCTCGTTATCGGATTGATGCTAGCTAGCACCAATGATATGCAGATCCTCACGGGAACTCGATTGTGTGGTGCACCCGTTACGACCATATGCCATTTCCTAGTAATGATTATTATTATGCGCAAACTTTGCATGATCCTAGGGCTAAATATACACCAGGTTCAAGCTGAAGAACTGGTGGATAAGACTGTATGTACTGCACTGTGCTGGTGAAGTTTTTTGACCGAGTGTTACGTGGTTGGAAACACACATGTTTCCCTGCAGAAGAGTGCTCTCATATGTCTCTACGGGACTTGCTTCTAGCCTTCTGTTTATTTGGGTGGATGCTTTCTAGTATCTACTAAGTTTCTAGTGCTTTTTTTGTTTTCTCTCACGTCCTCCAGTATGCTTCCGTTTTAGACTGTAGCGACTCATTTGTACATTCTGATATCTCGGTTTTATTATTCCTTACCACCAGCCACAATGTCCATGCGATTCACGCCTTTGACTTAGAGATCATGGTACAAAATTACTGCGAATATATTTTATCTGCGTTCCCTGTTTTGGTCTTTTTAGACACAGAGTATCTATCTTGCATAGGGAAGCTGAGGATATCTCTCTTTCAAAGAGATGTAGAGGTTATAACTTATTAGGTATGTATAGTCATGGGGGAAAGCTCTTGGTAGGAGAACAGGGGATGTGTAGGTGTAGTTGTGGCATTGAAGATTAGGACCAGCCGACAGGCAGTCATAAGAGAAGCAAAGTTGTAAGCTCGAACACGGTAGAGAGGACCCGCTTGACAAACTTCACAGGGGTGTGGAACAGGGACCATTCCCTAATTTTCTAAGGTCTAATACGGTAAAGAGGACCCGCTTGAATTTCTAGTGTGTGGCATGTGCTGGATATGTGGAGCCAGGAGCAGATCAAAACAGGAGGCTGCCACAACTTCCTTGTTGGTTGACATCGCATCGATTCTTGAGTGTACTGAATGAAGAGAAGCGAGGCTTGTGCTTGGACTAAGAGGAGAGGATGGTGATTGTGTGTGCATGCTCGTGAAGTCGATGCCTGCAGTCGCATTTTTCGAATTTCAAAAGATCCAGCAGGTGGCGGGGAAAATAGTTGCGCAGCTGCGAACAGCGGACCAGAGGAGGAGAAGAAACCTGTCCGGTATGACCTTGAGTTGGAGGGGAGAGAATGGCGATTGTGTGGAAATGCTGGTGGTTTCATGTCAATGGTCTACACACTGTGGGAATAATGGACAAGCGGCTGAGAAGTGTGAAAAAACATGCGCGAGAAGAGTCGTGGGCGGTTGGATTTTCCGAATCACATATAACCGTTCGTGGGAGCAAACAGGATGTGGATGAGTGCAAGGAAAGGAAAACATCACTCGACATTCTCAGACTTTGCACCAGCCAGGGTCAGCATCAGGAATGAACAGCTTGTTCAGCACCTGGGTCCAGCATTGCTGTCCAAGAGTGATTTCCATCAGACCTGCCGTACCATTGTGCCCAGCGACGAGCGAAGATGCTGTGGACAAGCAGTGGCCAAAGCTGCTGGAGATCGGTACTGTTTTTGCCCTCTGTGCAAAAAGCTGTTGAAGGTCAGAAGGTTGGATCTTGATGATGCAATGATTCTCGCCTATTTCTTGGCGTTGCATGTTTTCCATGCACATTGTAATAATGTCCTCGGTCCCGCTGCTTGGCCCCGAACGCCCTCGTTCGTTGACTTGGCCTGTGGTTGGGTCTTAGGAGTGGCTCCATTCCATTGAGTCATATTGTGGTGCTCAGTACTTGAGTTTGGTGTTGCGTCCTTTTTCTTGATTCGTGCAGTGTTGAGCTATTGACAGAGGAGTTCAGTCGTGCCCCTCGAAAGAACCCTGTGCTTGCAAGTAACTGTTGGGAGTGGAGTTAAGTATGTTGCGTGCATTTTTGGTTGCGCCGTGGGCGTTTCATCACCGTCGGATAGGATCGGAAACGCTCCTGAACCTGTGCTCCTCATAATACAGTGGTTGTAGAGATGATAGTGAGGAGGAAAGCGGAAGGAAGCTAAAGCTTTGGAGGTGGAGCCGGAAGTTTGTGCGGATTGTTGTTGGACTTGTTCTTTCAAGGAACAGACTTGGTTTCTGCATTATTTCTGACGACGTTGACTGCAAGTTGGGAGAACCTACAGTTCCATGGGACTGCTAGCCAGCGAGGCCACGGCAGCTGGACCATACGGGGACATCCATTTTCGAGTGCGCACTAACACGAAAGGGAAATGTACATACTGGACAAAGCTGCTAGGTAACTGTTTTTTTTTTTTTTTTTTTTTTTTTTTTCCTGCTTTGACCTTCCTCTTAGTAAATTTATTAATTAATAAAAGGATTATTACTGAATTTACTGGAGCATTTTTCAGCAGTTCTTACCTAATATGTCATGCCACCGGGGCGGGCACCTAAACCGTGACGAACTTAAGAAAGTTCACGTATTATTTCTTTCTGACGAGTTGCTGGGACGTTTGGCTAATATGATTCTCCAATGTCGGCTCGTTTCATTTCTCATCGTCTCATAGGATATTTATTGGAAAGGAAAAACCTGTTTCAAGATTGGCGATGAAGAGAAGGTATTTTTCAATGCTGAACTGCTTTGCTTGGGATGGCAGCTCAACAAGTACCGCCGCCAACAGCAGTCTCATATTTCTCAAGGTTTCATTATTATTAGTAGTTTATTACTCTTTACTTAGTTTACTAGTCTTAGTATTATTATTATTGGAGGACATGGGGCCCCGTGCGTCTGGAAATTCTTACTCCTTTTCTTTTCAAAAAAAAAAAAAAAGAAGTCTTTCGTTAATTACATATACAGAAGGGGCCGGCCACCCCACATAAAGACTGGATCTGGAGATCACGAGTCACCTCATGTGATCCCGAGAGTGGCTTGGAACAATATATTCAACCCAAATCTAGGCCACCAGAGTGGCCCGGGGTCACTTGCCCGGCCAGGCCAAAAAAATAAAAATAAAAAATATATTTTTGAATTTTATTTTTTATTTTAAATTTGGTGAAGAATTTTGATGTGACCCTGAGGCAAAAGTTGTTCAGTTTATGTTTCTGCATAACATAGTTTTTTTTTGGAAATAAAAAATATATTTTTGAATTTTATTTTTTATTTTAAATTTGGTGAAGAATTTTGATGTGACCCTGAGGCAAAAGTTGTTCAGTTTATGTTTCTGCATAACATAGTTTTTTTTTTTTTTTTTTTTTTTTYAGCTGGGACCCTCCCTGGTCCTCGGACGGGCTGGGCACCCGGGACCCGGGCGGCCCGGCTGGTAGCCTAGACCCAAAGTCAAAGGAGGTTTGGGAATTTAAGATCCAAAAATACAATCCCAAGCACTGTCTTTACAATGGATGAAGAGGTTGATTTTGTAACTGACCTTCCATGGCGAAGTCTGGCTTTCCAACAAATTTGTAGGGTAGCCTCAGTATCAGAAAGAGAGACACATCCCCTCACATGGGTGGAGGATCATTATTGGCATATTCCGCGACCGCATGCCCTTTCACGCAAAGAAGGGGTTAGGGGGGAGACCAGGAAGGATCTGGTTTTGGACAGTTTTTTGATAGATTTATTGAAAATATGGTGCAGTCTCCCTCTACCAAACAAAGCGTTGCCTTTAAGATATGAAGAAATCCTACGTGGCAACCGTTGGATTACGGGTGCAAATGGGAGGGTGTATATCAGTTCTGATTCCCCTTGGTCCACTTGGGTTAAAAATGGAATAGTGAGAGTTAAAGATTTATGGGACTCAGGGGAAAAGAATCGGAAAACAGTGTAAAAGTTGAAAAAGGAAATAAAGTATGCCCACAACCTATAAGAAAGATTAGATCTAGTCATTACTTCCTTTTCGCTGGTCTGGTTAGGGTCACTAAAAAAGGGTTGAGTCTTTTTGGAAGGAGATTGGGTATGTGGGAATAAACCTGATGGAACCAAGGTGGTAGGACAAGTGATTGATATTCAGCACGATGGGAAGTTGGTTAATTTATTCATGATGCATAAGGACCACTCTTTATCACAGCAGCATCAGGACAACGTAGCTTTCTTTCCTGTAAATACCGTATACATGATTACAGTGGTCTTCTGTTCGTTCTCGAAGGGTTGGCGAGTGTTCCACCCGGAGCTTCCAATTCAGGAACTACCATTAGACTCAGTCGGATGACTATGGAAAGCATAAAAAAGGAGTAAGCCAAAAAACATACAGGCACTATCTGTCAAGGCATCCTACCGTCTGCTAAAACCCAAAGTGGATGTTTTAGCCATAATACAAGAATGGTGGGCCAAACATTTAAACAT